GACTGAGTCCAGTACAGCTTGATGGTGGCCACCAACCCCACCGGCTGCTCTGACCAGGATCACAACAGAGGGTTCTGGACAGAGCTGGAGAAGGATGTAGAACAAAATTCTAACACAAAAAAGACCAGATTTACTAGCCTGACAGAGACTGGAGAAACCCCGAGAGTATGGCCCCCGGACACCCTTTTAGCTCAGTGGTGAAGTCACTCCCGAGGCTCACCATTCAGCCAAAGATTAGACAGCCCCATAAAACAAAACAAAACTAATGAGGCACAGCAGTCCAGGGACAAGGACTAGAAGGCAGAAGGGGACAGGAAAGCTGGTGACAGGGAACCCAAGGTTCAGAAAGGACAGTGTTGACATGTCGTAGGGTTGTTAACCATTGTCATAAAGCAATATGCGTACTAACTGTTTAATGAGAAACTATTTGTTCTGTAAACCTTCAGGGAAAAAAAGAAGGCTTTTAACACAACTCTCTCAGTAACTGATACATTGAGTAGGATAAAAAACCAAAAACCAGTAAGAATATATTAGAGCTGAACAACAGAATTAGCAAACTTGCTCCAGTGAATATAGAACTCTATAGCAACAAATGTAAAATGCATTCTTTTCAGGTACATGCAGAATTAGTGACCAAAACTGACGCTATCTTGGGCCATAAACCAAGTGTCAATGAATTTCAAAACACTGAAATCAGATATATTCTCTCTCACTATAATGCACCTAAGCTTGAAATCAATAGCAAAAAATATACCTTTAAAAATCCACACATATTCTTAAATTAAGAAATACACTCTAAATAACCTAGGGGGCAAAGAAGAAAGCACAATGAAATTTAAAATATATTTAAACTAAATATAATGAAATCCTACTTCTCAAAACTGGTAGAATATAGCTAAAGCAATGCTTGAGGGAAATTTAAAGACTTAAATGAATATATTAGAAAAAAAGAAAGGTTGAAAATCATTAAGTTAAGCATTTATTTCAAAAAGTTAGAAAAAGAACAGCAAATGAAACACAAAGTCAATGAAACAGAAAACATATTCAAAGTAAGGACCAAAAAAGCCAACAGATGGTTCTTGTAAACTATTAAAAACAATAAATGCTAAATGAAACTGATCATGAAAAAGGGAAGGCACAAATAACCAATATGAGGAATGAAAAGTGGGATATCACTACAGATCACATAGACATTAAAAAAGATCACAAAAGGACATTAAGAATAACTTTTTGCCAATAAATTTAAAAGTTTAGGAGAAATGGAAAATTCCTAGAAAACTGTAACTTAACAAACTCACAATATATCCTAGAGAAACAAGAGCCATCACACGAATAGATATATGCACACTCATGTGCATTGCAGCACTGTTCACAGTAGCAAAAAGATGGAAACAACCTAGATGTCCATCAACGGACGAATGGATAAACAAATTATGGTATATTCACACAATGGAATACTACCCAACGATAAAGAACAATGATGAAGCCGTGAAACATCGTATAGAGGAAGCTGGAGAACATTATGCTGAGTGAATTTAGTCAGTCACAGAAGGACAAATATTGTATAAGACCACTATTATAAGAACTCAAGAAAAGGTTTAAACACAGAAGAAAACATTCTTGATGGTTACGAGGGTGGGGAGGGAGGGTGAGGGTTATTTAGTAACTAGATAACAGACAACAATTATCTTAGGTGAAGGGAGGGACAGCACACACTATAGTGGAAGTCAGCACAACTGGACTAAACCAAAGCTAAGAGGTTTCCTGAGTGCAAACACTTTGAGGGATAGAGTGGCAGGGGTCTGGGGACCATGCTTTCGGGGTACATCTGGGTCAACTGGCATAACAAAGTTATGAAGAAAACATTCTGCATCCTACTTTGGTGAGTGGCGTCTGGGGTCTTAAAAGCTTGCAAGTGTCGATCTAAGATGCATCAATTGGTCCTAACCACCTGGAGTAAAGGAGAATGAAGAACACCAAAGACACAACAAAAGTATCAGCCCAGAGACAGAAAGGTCCACATAAACCAGAGACTCCATCAGCCTGAGACTTGAAGAACTACATGGTGCCTGGCTACCACCAATGACCGCCTTGACAGGGAACACAACAGAGAGTCCCTGATGGAGCAGGAGAAAAGTACAGTACAGAACTCAAAATCTAGTAAAAAGACCAGACTTAATGGTCTGACTGAGACTGGAGGAACCCCAGCAAGCACGGCCCCCGGACTCTCTGTCAACCCAGAACTAAAACAATTTTCAAGGCCAACTCTTCAGACAAACATTGGACTGGACTGTGGGACATAAAGTGATACTCATGAGGAGTGTGCTTCTTAGCTCAAGTAAATCCATGAGACTAAACAGGTAGCTTCTGTCCAGAGGTGAGATGAGAAGACAGAGAGGGTTAGGACTGACTGAATGGGCATGGGAAATCAGATATGGAAAGGAGGAACGCGCTGTCACGGAACAGGGAGAGCAATTAGGGTTACATACAATGTACATATAAATTTTTGTATAAGAGACTAACTTGAAATGTAAACTTTCACTTAAAAAATAAATAAAGTTTTGCTTTGGGGGAAAAAAAAAACTCACAGAAGAACTAGAAAATCTGAATAGCCCTATAACTATAAAAGAAATTGAATATGTAATTTTAATTTACACAATTTAATATTAAAGAGCATAGTAAATGAACTTTTACTTAAACACAGAAATACATATGATTCACACAAACAGTGCTCAGTAACAGAAATCAGTCAAAAGAATACCTACTGTTTGAGTAAATTACTATATACATAATACAAAGTTCAAAAAACAGGTACAACTTCTTTTGACAGATGAATGGATAAACAAATTGTGCGGTAATCATAAATGGAATACTACTCAGCAGTAAAAAGGAATGAATTATTGATACACGCAACATAACGGATGAATATCAAAATAATTACGCTGAATAAAAGCAGCATGACAACAAAGAGTAAATAAAATTCTAGAAAATGTAAACTAAATATCAGAAGAAAATCAGTGGCTGCTTAGGCATGGGGGAATGGCAAGGGGAGGGAGGAAGGGATTGCAAAGGAGATGATGGATAAGTTCATTATCTTGATTATGGTGGTTTCATGATTGTATACATATGTAAAAATGTATCAAACTGTACACTTTAAATAGTGCAGTTTATTGTATGTCAATTATACCTTAATAAAGCTGTTGAAAGAAAGAAAAGGAGGAAAGGAGGTGAGGAGGGAGAAAAGGAAAAAAAAGTCTGAATGACTGACTTAGAAGTTATGTAACATTTCTGGGTCCCAAATTTTCTCATCTTTAAAATGGGACTTAGCGTTTCAAGAGTTAAATGAGATAATTAATGTATGCAAAGTCCTTAGTGTATTGTATATGTTTGTCTATCTTTTCATCCTTTCTTTCTCATTCACTCCTTTAAGAAATAAGAGTATCTAACTGTGCCAGGCTCTATACTAGGCACTGGGATACAACAGAGTATTGTCTAATAGGGGAACACAGAAGCAAACAACAAAAATGAATAATTACAAAATTTTATAAATATTACAAAGAGATATATGACTTTGAGAGAGATTGTAATAGGTGTCTGTGACCTAGTCAGAGACATTAAGAAAGACATGACTGAAGAAGTGACCACAGACCTAAGCTCTAACAAATAAGTAGGCATCAACAAGGTGAAGAAGGAAATAAGCATGTAGAAATCCTGGACTGGAGGAAATCTTGCAATGAAAGGGCCAATGTCTCTGAAGTAGAAAGAATAAGCAAAAGCCTAGTATAAACTAGGTTTGAAAGGTGCTTTGGAAGCAGATCATGCAGGGCTATCTTAAGAGCAATCGGAAGCCCTTGAAATGTTTTAAACAGGAGAGGTGACAAACTGATCTAGAGTTCAAAGAAGGTACTCCAACTATAGTGCCAAGATTAAATTGAAGGAGAACAAGAATGACTGTAGATATATCAGTTAGGAGCCACTGCTGCAGTTTAGACAAAAATAATGATAGCTTGGATCGGAGATTTATTCAATCAAAAAAATCACACTACAGAGTACCTACTAAGTGCCAAACACTATCCCAAATGCACAAGATACAGCAATAAGAAAAACAAAAAAGACAAAAATCCTTGCCTGGAGTCTGTATTATAGTGGGAAGAGATCGGCAAATAAGTAAAAAATAACTTACGTCAGACGGTTTTAAGTGCTATGAAGAAAAATAAAGTAGGGAAGAGGGAGTGCGACTCCACTGGAGAGATGAAAGCCAAAAGAGGATTGGTCTTATATGAAATAGTTTGTTACCTAATAATTCCTACCAGTCTGTAAAGTCCATCGAGGCAGAAGTTATACCCTTACCACTACATCCTTAGGATCCAGACAAGTGTCCGGCACATGGCAGACATGTAATATATATTGTCGGAAGAATAAATGAATGAGCAGAATATTGTATGTAAAGGCAAAGTACTCCTATATTAACAAGGTAAATATTTAAAATGTGTTCTTATGAAAATTACCAAGCTGACCTAGCCACAGAATAGCTTTAAGAAGAAATGTGGTAGCTGAGTTGTTTGATTTTGAATCATAAATCAAATTATGCTTGATTTTTAATAGTTTTTAAATTGACTATTATAGTCTAAGAGTTTTAAAGACAGTCATATTTTATAAAGTTGCAGGATTTAAAAAATAAATAGTTAGGAGTAAGAAGCTACAAGTTCAGAAAACTTGGTCTTTTCACAACATTGTGTTACCTTACTAGAACATCTAATGAAAAATATGCAGATAATATTTTCAAGCAGTGATTTGCAAATCACGGGTTTAGCCACTCAGTGAGCATATCCCTTAGATGTGTAACCACTGTCTAAAAATATAATTACAGTATATTTTAAGAATTATGCTTGATTACTTTAATCCAAATTCAACTAAAATTTTTCTAAATTAAATTCTAAAATTTAAATTGATAATAAATATATTAAGCTATTTTTATAAAAAAATAAACAAACACATACCTTTCTCTTACAAAATCTGCTAGTTCTTTTGTTGATATCTGTCCATGTTTCATATTATGATAGAGGACATCAAAGCCACTATTTTTTTCCCCCTAAAATTTAAAAAGATTTTTAGTTTAACAAAAAACAAAGATCAAAATGACCTGAGAATACAATAAGTGTCCATTAACTAATATGCAATTCTAATGCTCAGGTGAGCTGTCTTTCCTTAACTTAACCAATAATGTTGCTGTTTATTGCATGAATTTAAACTTTACCAAAGCATTACTGTATGTTTTAATAAAGTTTACAATTTACTATATATACCTATACACACATTCACACACACGTGCATACATACTGTATATTCACCCATAAGGGTATATAATTCATGAAATTAAATCTGAAATTTTAGGGAATGACGTATAATGCAATTTAGAAAAGATAAGCATGGACTTTTTTAATATATTACCAAATTCCATTTCAATTCCTTGAACAAGCATTAAGAGATTCCTAATTAATTAACTCAGACTCGGTGCTTTAAAAAAAATAAATCTTGACTTCTGAGTCAGGACAACATAGGACTAATCAATGATACAAGCACTGAATACCACAAAAAAACTTTGTAATCACTAACCTAAGTCTTTCACTAAATTTAAAAATTTGAGAGAAATGGGACAAAATTTTAACACAAAGAAAAGTAACATCCTATTGGCTAACAGAATTTTAGCCTGACTAACAGAAAAGTAATAGAATCAGACCGCTACACAATCTTGGAAAAAAAACTTCACTGCCACTTAATCCAATAAATCCTACATGAGCAAATCATAACAAAGAAAACATTAGAAACATCCATTTTATAGGTGAAATAAAAGACAGTGAACTAAGTTAGCTTAATAACTTTCTTTACTCAAAATCACCATCAGCTGTTATTTTTATTTTTCTTCAGTGAAAATAAAATAACAAAGAATTGAATATATGTGCTGGAAATAAAAGAAATACTGGAAGCAAGTGTTATGCAATCTGAAACCTAATTCTTGCACAGCTCAGAGAAAACAGGAAACATATTATAGGAACTTCCAGTTATGCTGAAGTGATCCTTAGTAAGCTTGTCAGATAAATAGAGCAAGTAATTAGTTTGCCATACATACAGCAAACTACAATGTCACATCTGTACTGAGATGATATAAGAAATATCCTTAGCATTTTAAGCATCCATTTTCATTTATCCAGAAGACTATAAAACCAGTCTCTTATGAATTCAAACATTTTCATTTGGCTTCTACAATATTTCATGTTTAAGACGAAGAAAAAAATTATTTAACTTTAGTTTTTTACTTGTCCTGGGTTTTTCAAGCAAATTTGTTCCAACCAAAATTAAGAATATTCTTTGAGATCACCATTACCACTAAACAGTTAACATGCTCGACTGCTAACCAAAAGGCTGGAGGTTCAAGTTCACCCAGAGGTGCCTCAGAATAAAGGCCTGGCAATATACTTCCAAAAAATTAGCCATTGAAAATCCTAAGGAGCACATGGGTCACCATGAGTCAGAATCGAATAAACGGCAACTGGTGGGTTGTTTTTTTAAATAGCGAACAAAAATAACACCAAGCGTATCAGTAAATAAAATTATAGACAAAAAAAATGAAGGGTCTAAATACTCCAAGTGATTCCATTACTTCAACACAGCACAGAAACTACACATATCTGAGTGGAATGTCCACCAAGCCCCCATAAGATAATTATGAACCCTGAAATAAGCAAACAAAAACAAAACAAATCTGAAATCTAAACTATAAAATCCAAAATCAGAAGCTCTCAAGCTCCAATGTTCTCACCTGACATCTACTGGTTCTCATTTTCAAACAATTCTAACAAGTCAGGTTACCTGGGTTCCCGCGATGCATTATGCATATTTAAAAGGAAAATTAGAAAAGAGTTAGGAGTGAAACACTATTACAAACAGTCACGCAGACTACATATTAGAAGAAATAATATTTACCAGGCTTACAGGAGCCTTGGTAGCATAGTGGTTAAGAGCTCGGCCACTAACCAAAAGGTTGGCAGTTCAAATCCACCAGCCATTCCTTGGAAACCCTATGGGGTAGTTTTATAGGGTCACTATGAGTCAGAATCAACTCAATGGCAACGGGTTTTGGTTTACAAGAGAAAGAACAGAAACCTTTTTATTTTTTAAATAAGACAAGAACTTCGGGGTCATCTAGTGACTGAGGCAACAAGGTCCTGACAGTTTCACTGCTATAGTACTGTAAACACTAAGCAATCAAAAAAGGTTAAATTATATTCAGAAACCTGTGTTCTAATTAAGAAGTCACTGAAGAAGAAAACTATTTGACAATTCAGATATTCAAAGAGTATATTACTTAGAAATTCCCAATATACGAGGTTCATTTATTTGTTTACTATATAACACAGTAATATTAATATACTAACAGTAACATACCTTAGGAAACTCTATCCCTAAGGTCTTCTATCCTTAAGGTCTTCACTTAGAAAGAAAAGGAAACCTCTTCCTAGTAGGGATG